TTAGGAATTGTGAAAAACCTGAGTATTTACTACAGAAGCTCTAGAGTACCTCTTCTGCTGAACGTCCTCCATGCGGTGGCTACTTTGTTGTCCGGTCTCCACAACAGATTTATAGAGGCTGATTTATGGAGGATCTTTTAAATGGCATATCGCTTTAAAAGAAAACCAGTAACCTTAAAGCTAGGCTGCTACAGTAAATCAACATTTAGCCTCAGATAGCACTTCAGATAACGTTCAAAGGTAATCAGGACTTCATTGCGACTTGTGGCTTCCACGGTTTGCCCTCTCTCTGGCAGAGCTATACTTCTGTTACGGGAACGTTGTTTTCTTTCAACTGATTACTGGTATTTAAATTTGTCTGAAATTGCTTTAAATTTAGAAGGGGCTTTCAAGAAGATCAAAACCGAAGGAACAGCCATTTACTCATCCTCAGAGACTTCCAACGTCGCTTCAACGCCGGCAAGGCGCCGTCACCGTACCACTTTCACCCAGGAGCAACTGCAGGAGTTGGAAACGGCTTTCGGCAAGAGCCACTATCCGGATATTTACGTGAGGGAAGAACTGGCCCGTGCAACGAAACTCAACGAAGCTCGAATTCAAGTACGTTGCCGTTAATTGGTCACTGACCCTGGCGACTGAGGTCAAGGGGGGCAGGTGATGCAAATTGTGTAGGATTTCAAAAGCTCCGCTGATATCGATTGAATGAACCTCACGAGTTAGAATGAGCCGCCGTCGAACGTAGCCAACCAGGCTAGTTATCTGTAAGCAGTCTTAAGGCTGCCATCGACGCACTAGCTGAAGCCGAACAGTAGAGTTCACTTCCACCATAAGCAGAAATATTGAAAATTACCTCAATTTACTTTTCCCTAAGAAGTGATGTATAAATTAGCTATTTGTATTCTCCCACAGATCTGGTCGCGTCACACGATGATCATCCTCTCATTGTTCCTCAATCGATGGCCGATCGCTGACCTGACGGCTGCCATCGCTTTAGCGTTAATCCGGCTTAGTTCTGGTGTTGCCCATGACCGAGACCGATCTGGTGCGCTTCGTGCAACCTGAGGTCACAAGAGCAACTCGTGTAACTTTGTCACGCGTTGATTAGCGAACCAGAAAACGAGTGTCCGTTCAATGGGAGGGTACGATTACAGAATAAGTGACTTAATTACGGTCGGTAGGTGGTCGTCGCGAATCCAAGGCCGGCCATCTGGACGTTCACTGCCGAACTGTACCAGGAAACAAAACACGGCACTTACGCGACAGCAAAACAGTGACGTTTGCTGCAGAGTCAGGACGGCCGAGTCAGCTCCTATTCGGTTTCCTATTTCGCTTCCTTTTAGACTTTTTGATCGAAACGTCGGTCAGCTGTACCTCAGCAGGTCGAACATGTGGCCCACAGTAAAACTGCCGAAGGTGAATTGAGGAGGTTGAAGCTAATCGGCAATGGTAAAGTTATGGCTTAGGAGAGATTCAATTTTTCGGTGCTCAAATCTTTTGTGTATTCCATAGTCAGTTTCCTGTAGTTCTATAGACACTTGGCTCACATTAGGCTTATGAAATTTTTAAATTATTGTAGTCTGACTTTAAATTTATTAATGTGCATTTACGGATTCCGTTCACA